AGGTGGGAACTGCATATAGGCAAGAAATTGCGCAACATTCTGGAGCTCGTTTTTAACCCCCGCGCTGTGAATTTTATAAATACAACAGCTTTGTTATATTTTTACAAAGCTACATTATATTTTTCAGCAATGAAGTGATAGCTTAGCTGTTTTTGTAATTAAACCAGCAAGCTTCACTATTATGCCACTCACTCTCACTCGCTCTTGTTAATTCATTCAAGTCTGTTCAAATAAATATAATCTTACAGTGCTACTTTATTTCACTTTAGAATTCTACATCTAATGAGCTTTAGATAAAATAACATGAAAATTACCATTATCTTCCGGTCTTCATCTGTTCAGTCAAATTTTGTGCTTCAGAACATTCATGACAGCTGTTGTCTATGCAGACAAATAATAATATCCACTCCATGTGAATTATATAAATAATTTTAATAGCACGCCCATTCAAAACCCAAGGGTCTACCGTGAGCATAGTAAAGCGATCACTGACAATCATTTTGGGGTGGGAATGAATGTAAACACAGATATCGATTACCAGTCTTGTCTAAAGTGAATGTAAACAGGCAGGCCAAAAAAAACGAATAAAAGATCGGATCTGTGCATAAAGACTTGCAGTGTAAACGCAGCCTAAGTGAGTCCAATTGATCTAATAAAGGACTTGTCTGACTGATAAAAACCACTAAATCTTGTGCGGTTCATAAATGAATGTTGTCTCAGTAGTGGCAGAGATCTACCACTAAATAGCGATGCAGCAATCACTGCTATATGATGTGTATTTGTGCACCCTTTAACTTGGTTTTATATTGTTAATGTGATATAAGCTACCTGGAAACCTCTTCTCTGTTATGTATCAGTGCTAAGGTTCAACAGCTGGATCGCAGTTTCAGGATGACACCTCATAAGAGTTCACTGCTCTCTAGAGGTGTAACGATTCACTCGTTTTCTCGATGCATCGTTTACAAACCTTGACGATGCATATGCATCGATCTTGAAACGTGAATCGTCGATTTTGGACAGTAATCGATTTAAAACGCTAAGAATCGGATGAATCGCAATTTCTATAGCGATTCAATGCTTTAAAAATATATACACATTAAATTACTACAAGCACGAATTAATGGAGACCTTGAACAGTGTTCATGCCATTGCATCTCTTCTTCACATACTCCACTATTTACCGCCTGTGACTGTCACAAGATTGCGCTCGTGCTCAGTTCGTCTCACTGACACATTTTTTGAGCAGCTGATGTGTTAAACTGTTAAAATAACCACAGCATTAACAACAACCTTGAAATAAGAGTTTAAGAGTTTATCTGATAATTAGATGCATGAAAGTAGCATTCGTTGCTATAGCAAACAGACATCGGGCGCGTTTTCTTTCAGAATCATCATTCGCCGATAGAGAGGAAAAGTTAAATACTATAGCATTTTATTTTATGAAAATGAGATAAAGACGTTTTCGTTTGAAAGAGAAGTGATCTCGCTCTCAAAGAACTTAAGACGTGCCAGGAAATGCCTAATATGGACAAAGGCATCTATCGCTGCAGCTAAGCTGAATAAAAAGCAGAATGAATTGGTGAAACGTTAAGACAATAAACACAATAAATACAATTTATGAATGATGCAGTGCTAATTGGCATATCATTTATTACAGTACAGAAACTAGAAATGATATTTTCTACCTTAATCTGTGCAGAAAATTGATAGAATTGTTTGTAGTATATAAAACAATCATAAAATTGCCATTAGGAAAAAATTATAGATTACAAATGATTGATTATTGTCCAGCAGTGTATTTGATTTCTTATAGCAAATTTAAAGTAAGAAAATAATTCCTTGTAAATAAAATTAATAAATAAATAATACATACATACATAAAATTATTGTATTTGTCATTTCTGTCACTTCTGAAATGATGGCTATGCCTCATTTTGGCCTTGAATCTAATCGAAAACCTATGAATCGTGAATCGAATCGATTCGCTGTCTACCCAAAGATTCACAGCCCTACTGCTCGCTATAATCCTGCACTGATGCACACTGCTCATTGTTGTGCAACTTGACCTAAATGCAGTTCCTTTCCATAATAATATGATAATATTTGTCATTTCATCGGATGGTTTTGGATTATCCTGAGCCACTTATAATGTCAGATATTTTACAGGAAAAGAAATGTTGAATGCAGTGATAAAAATACCTAGAAATATCCTGGGTTCGAGCAATGGCAGTTTGACCGGCTTTAGAAATGAGAATTATGTGCCACATCTTTTGTGCAGTGCTAGAATAGCCTTGATTGTATCCTAGCATGCTCTGGAAGTGGCTTTGTCCTTGAGTCTGCAGGAAACGCTGAAGTGCTACTGTGAAATGGAAATATGAAGTGACATGCTTGTCTCTGTGAATTTACAGCTGCAGAAAGCTGTGGGTCCAGAAATCACAAAGAATGACCTAGTGCCAGCCTTCCAGAACCTTCTGAAAGACTGTGAGGCTGAGGTTCGTGCCGCTGCTGCAAACAAAGTCAAAGGTGAGAAAAAGCACCAACGCAGCCCTGTAATATATGAGCATGATGTTGATTTGCAAATCAGTTCAAATCTGTTAATTTGCAAAATAGGTTTAAATAATCGTAGTTAATATATTTTCAGTAAAATACGTTGCACATGTCTGTAAGTTGCATAGTTCAAAATTGCATTCTTGAGAGAGAAAAAAAAAACAGATGTGTATGTCATGTTTTATTATTACATTACAGAAATAATGTAAAATACTGGTAAATAAAACTTTAAACATGTATTTAAGCTCCCGTCATTCCACAATAAATCACTGAAATTAAATGACGTTCAGAATAGGAATGAAAAATTAAGTGTAAAACATAAATTAAAGTGGCATTTATTATAAACACCAAGCCTAAACCTATATTTATTTAAAGTGCAACTGAAACTACCAGTGTGTTGGAAATGTGCTGTACAAATAAACTTACATACCTCTCTTATTTGGCACAAATTCAAATGTGTGCACGTTGCATGTTTGCATAATATAAGTTGCTTTTGAATATAAGTTGCAGCAGGTTTCAGAAAAAGGTGACATGTTGGCGAAAAATACTGATTTATATACAAATTTAGTATTTGCTGAAATTTGCTTATTTTTTTATTACATTTTTTGTTTAGTCAGTTCCTTGTTTAAGGAATTAAAAATATTTAATATTTTTGTCTCATAAACAGCTTTGGATTTTGAGTGGGTTTTGTTTGTAGCTGGCATTTCAAACTGTGGTTCGAAGACTGCATGTTACTTAATTAAAGTCCAAATCTAGTCTGGAGTTCATTTGTATATTTGCTCTCAAGAGTGTCTTTCTCTGATAATCATGAAATTACACTGGTATTTTTATGAAAATGCTCTTATTGACCCTAATTGATTATTATCCACAGAATTCTGTGAAAATTTGCCAGAAGACAGTAGAGAGACGATCATCATGACACACATTCTCCCCTGTGTTAAGGTAAAATGCTTTTTCATTCAGCGCTTGTCAACATCTCTGCAATCGGTCACATTTCAGACTGATCACTTGTTCCTCATTGTTCCAGTACTCATCACATTTAATTGGTGCGCAGTTCCAATCCAGGATCAGTTACTGGCTGATAACTCTTGAGTCAGCATCTCTTCTCTAAGTGTCTAAGACTTAAAGAAGATCAGATTAACAGTGTGTCTGTGCTCTGACCTACTGGCTGTAGCAACAGTAGCACACTTCTGCTCTCGATCACATACTATATATCAATCAGTGCTTTCTCCACTATTGTACATTTTTTTTTGGAGAGTGTTATTTGTTTTGGACATGCCCACCAAAATATCTGCAGTGGCTCACAGCATAGATGCAAATAATTGCAAGATTGATGGCAGCACAGCACTTTTTATTCCAAACCTTTTGTGTAGCTGAAGTACATTTGAAACTTCCTTACAAAAATGGAGCTTTGACATGTTTCATAGCAATATAAACATTCAACATGGTCCATGGACCGCTTTGTTCCGCGTTCATATAGACTTGAATATTTTTTTGCTTTAATAGTGGCTGAACATTTTAAAATGGTTCATGTACCTTACCATTCAAAAGTTTTTGGTCGGTTTTCGCTCTTCACAAAAAGTTGTTTTTGAAGAGTCCTTTATACTCACCTAGACTACATTTATTTGATCAAAAATACAGTAAAACTGTAATATTGTAAAATTTTACAATTTAGAATAACTTAATGTATTAATGTATTAGATGTACTATTTTTGCATTAATATATTAAAAACATTTATGTATAGTTATTAGGGTTGGGAACCGATAACCGGTTCTTATTTAGAACCGGTTCTTTTTTTTTAAAAGAACCAGAACCGTGAGCAATTTCTAAGTTTCGGTTCCAAAAACGGTTCTGGTGCGACACGTGACCAAGCGCTGTGAGACACGTTTCCCATAAAAGATGTCACAAACCCAATAACAGAAATGCCGCCCTGCCTCTTTAATTACTGAGCACACTGTTTCCCATGACGCGCACTCCACAGACGCGTCGCGTCTTTAACTGCCGAACACATCGTTTTCCACGACTACGCGCAAATGTTATTGATAGTGTAAAAAACATCAACTTTGAAGCACATGCATTACTCAACATTACTTACTACCTTCCAGCAACACTACATTCAATTAAGGTAAAATAGTAAAAAAATAATAATAGTTCATTTAAATGGAACCGGAATCGTTAGGCAAAACTGGAACCGGAATCGGAACCGGAAAATTTCTAACGATACCCAACCCTAATAATTATGTTGAAAACAGTGCTTAATTCCACTTAATGTTGGATTTGCGTAATGTTATTGTGAAAACCATTTTCTTTGATGAATAGAAAGTTCAAAAGAACAGCATTTGTTTTGGCAACAATCAGTATTTTTACTGTGACTTCGGATCAAATGATTTTGTGACTTTGGATCAGTTTAATACATCAATACAAAAAATACATTTTGACACTAAACTTTTTAACGGTAGTTGGTTGTTTTTGCTGGAAATTCAGTGCAAATTTTTGCACAATCCAGGGAATTTAGTACAGTACAAAAGTTCTTCATTGATTTTCTTAAAGTAGAACCCGGCCGATATATCGTTTTGCCGATATTATCGGTCGATATGAGCCTGTCGCGCAGATATATCAGTATCGGCGAATATGCCGACGATATGAAATTTTTTTACAGAACATATAATGCAGATTAAATTCTTCTGAATGGTGTAATTACTTAGTTTGTCTAGCAGAGCGCGCCCCATTGTTTGCTACTGATCTTAGTTTTGCATGATGATATGATGAATGGATGGTTCATTTTTAACAGCAGATTCAGTGACGTTAGAAACTAGAGCTGATCTGCGCATCACGGCACGCGTCTGCGGCGCATTAAAGCATGTGTGCTACTCAGTCAATGCTGGTGTTTATACTGGTGTTTCCGTTTAAATTTTTCTGGACTCCTTTTTAATGGTTAAATTTGTTTTAATTAATCAAAAAACATGTCTAATTAATTAAAGTCATGAAACTTAACATCAATTTATCAAAAGTTTAACAAAAATTACATGTTTAGGGCCCTATGAAATGTTTTATTTTTTCCAACCTTATGTTTTATTGTTACCAAATTCTGTGTTTTAACATGTCTAATTATTTGAAAGCATAAAAACAAGTTTAATTTATTCTTACAATAGCCTAATGATTTTTTCCTCAGAAATTCTGCATTGTGTATTTACATTTTTTTAAAGGCATAAAACATTCATTTAATCTATCTTTTAAGTAATGAAAATTAAACAAATTTCCTGTGTTTAGATTCCGTTTTTTTTAATGGTTAAATTACATTTTATTAATCAAAAAGCATGTCTAATTAATTAAAATCATGAAACTTAAACAATTTAACATCAATTTATTAAAAGTTTAACAAATAATACATGTTTAGGGCCCTATGAAATGTTTTATTTTTTCCAACCTTATGTTTTATTGTTACCAAATTCTGTGTTTTAGCATGTCTAATTATTTGAAAGCATAAAAACAAGTTTCATTTATTCTTACAATAGCCTTATGATTTTTTGCTCAGATATTCTGTGTTGTGTATTTACATTTTAAGGCATAAAACATTCATTTCATTTATCTTTTAATTAATGAAAATTAAACAAATTTTATTTTTGGAAAATAAAGGGGATTTAATATTACAATTAAAACATTGAAGAAATATTGTATGATTATTTCTTAAAAATAAGGTTTTAATAATTTTAGTAGTAGTAGCCTATTACGTACATTCTACTGAACAATAGTAATATATTTATGCCGCAGTGTCTTCAAGTTAAACCAAACTTTTATTTTGACTGGCTATTTTGTTTGTTTAATAAAAGAACAAGGTAAAGACCTGTTCTATAGGAAAGGTAACTTTAAATGACTGCTATTGTGATCTGGCGCTATAGAGAAAATAAAATTAAATACAATTAACTTGACCTTCAAGGGGGGCGGGTTTTCGATGCAGAAAACATGGACGGAATCGCGGAATCCAGTCATAAAAACGGAATTTACTGTATAACGCGGAATATTATTCTACTATAAAATATTATATATTCTATTTGTTTAGTTATTTATAATAAGTTAAGTTTACTGTTAAGTGCACTGATGTCAGACTCATTTTGAATAATAAAGTTTATTGTTAAATTGTTAAATACCCTGCCTCCACTACATAGGCCTATGTTTGTCACATTATAAGTGTTTGATCACCACATTTGAGTTATCATAGCAAAAAAAGTGTTTGTATATATAATGTTTATGTAGGCTATATACTGTATTCTATATACAGTAATTTTGACTATACTGTACTATAATATAGCCTACACATAAAGAATATCGACCGATATATCGATATCAGCCTTTTTTACTCCCTAATATCGGTATCAGCATTAGCCCCCCAAAAAATCGGTAGGGCTCTATTTTAAATATTGTCATGTGAAAAGTAGAAAATAACTTGTATCTTGTAAATGAATATTATTTTAAATAATGCAATGTGAAAAGTAGAAAATAACTTGAATCTCCTGTAAACAAATGTTTTAAATAATGAATGTAAATAGAACACTTCTGATTTAAGAGAAAGAGCAGGGCACCATCTCAGTGATTTTGTCCTGTCACTCTATATGTTTAAGTATTTACTCTAGGTTTTTACTGGCTATTCACACAGAACACGTCTTTGTGTCTAAAACCGCGAGACACAGCGCTCAGGATGTTTTTTTTAAAGCGCAGCGCAGAATGCTTACTCTGCCATGTTGCCGTCAAATACAAAAGTTGCCATGCCAACCTGCTACTTTAAATAAAAGCTGGCACCGCTTTCCCCGCCTCCGCGGTCTTCTGATTGGCCCACTGTTTTGAACTGACATTGAGCTCCTACTGCGGTGGTATGTTTTTAATAGGAAAGTATTAATAGGATTAAAAAAATCTGATAACCGACATGGGAAAATTATGTCGGTTAGAGGTTCTGAATTTTGGTTTCGATTCCTTTTTTATTAATCGTCCAGCCCTACTTGGGCTTATCATTTATATTTATCGGTTTAATTTTTAATTTTACTTTAAATTTTATGTGCTTTTATCATTTTCATTTATCTTCCATTTTTTACTTAGATTTATTTTTTGTGTTTTAGCTTTAGAAATGTATTTTATATTGTATTTATATTTTAATTAATTAAAAAAAAAAAAAAAATTTGTAGTTGCTAATTTACAGCACTCAGTTGTGTTGGTTATTTGTTAGCATGTTGTCCGGAATGTTACAGTTTTTGTCATGTCCTTTCTGTAGTGTCCAGAGGTTCGCCTCAACATCATCTCCAACTTGGACTGCGTGAACGAGGTGATTGGAATCCGCCAGCTTTCCCAGTCTCTGCTTCCAGCTATTGTTGAGCTGGCTGAGGATGCCAAATGGCGAGTACGACTGGCAATTATTGAGTACATGCCCCTTCTGGCTGGACAGCTGGTGAGTCCTGACCGTCAGTGTCCTAGAATGCTTTATCCTGAAATAGAGATCGGAATGTTCCGTTGGTCAGTTCTTATTCTTCAGTCTCTCTTTACACTTAAAGCATTTAACTAATCATCCTGTTACCTTATTGCCGTCAAGTCGCCTTGGGTCGCGTAAGCTAATCTAACTGATATGAGGTATCCTTTTTTTCTCTCTCTCTTTCTTGTGCTTGCAGGGTGTAGAGTTCTTCGATGAAAAACTCAATTCTCTGTGTATGGCGTGGCTTGTTGATCATGGTAGGTTGCTTATCAGGAATGTTCATAATAACTATAATTGCACAATAATAATAATTGTGTTAATTTCGTTGATGAATAATATTCGTCAACAAAAATTTTTTCACCGACGATAACGAACTAAAACTCTTTTTAAATGACCAAAACTTTGACGTAAATCTATTGACATTTTCGTCAACGAATAAAAACGAGACGAAAATGTTAGGGAGGGACGATTTGGGATGATATTCATTCAGAACGAATCTGCTGCGTGGTTCGGAGATTAGATGCGTACATATGAACTGGCAGGAAACTTCTTATTCATATAAACTCCTACCCCTAATTGAATCGCGATTTGTTTAGCATCTCAACCGATTTGAATAGTCACAAATTTGAATCGATTTTCAACAGGCTCGCGGTTAATCGTTACATCCCTAATAAGCGTATATAACCATTGGTATTTCATTAAAAAGAAGACCTTGTTCTTTATGAGAAGTGGTTTTATTTAATTTTAACATAAAGGCATGTTGTGTGTCACCGCAGTTAAATCGGTGTCTATCATGATAAAACCTTAATATCAAACCTATATAATGAGTTTGGAAATTTTAGAAAAATGCTTAAATGCACTGTAACTAAACCCATTAGATTTTAGCCGACTAAAATCTTATGATATTTAGTTGACTAAAACTAGACTAAAACTAAAAACAATTCAGATGACTAAAATATGACTACAACTAAATGGCATTTTAGTCAAAAGACTGACTAAAACTAAATCCAAATTTGCTGTCAAAATGAACACTGCATGTGTCCCACACAAAAAAATCGAGTTGCAATTCCATTTGCTTGTAGCATAAAAATGGAAAAAGCTGTTATAATATGTTGCAGTCTCAGTCGACTAACACTTGTTTCTCTGTGATCTTCAGTGTATGCCATCAGAGAGGCAGCCACCTGTAACCTGATGAAGCTGGTGGAGAAGTTTGGAGCAGAGTGGGCACAGAACACCATTGTGCCTAAAGTGCTGGGCATGGCTAATGACCCCAACTACCTGCACAGGATGACTACCCTCTTTTGCATTAATGTGAGTCAGAGCTTATCAGCTTTAACAAACAGCTGCTGAGTCACAGAGGAATGTATGGCGTTGGTGCTGATGCATTAGGTGGAAAAGCGCCGTTTGATGTACATTTTGACCATAAAATATAGTAAAATCTGTCTCATTCTCTTTGTAGAATGGTGCATCATCCATGAAATATTTGAAATTATCTGTAGAAATTGTGGGGAAAAACTTATATCAAATTCATCTTTAACCCCTGCAGCAGCACTGATGTGTGTAACTGTCCGTTTTAGGCTCTGTCTGAGGTGTGTGGACAGGATATTACCACCAAACACATGCTTCCTGTAGTTTTCAAGATGTCCAATGACCAGGTAGCCAATGTACGCTTCAATGTGGCCAAGTCTCTTCAGAAGATTGGACCTGTGCTGGACAGCAAGTATGTGTTTATCCACATTTAACCAGTAGTTGATTTTTATGTCAAAAATATTCACATTTCACTTAATGTGGCTCTAATGTTTTATTTTTTTATTTTTTTTTATTACAGCTGTCTGCAGACAGAGGTGAAGCCAGTGCTGGAGAAACTGGCATCAGATCAAGACATGGATGTGAAATATTTCGCCCAAGAGGCCATCAGTGGTGAGTTCCGCAACTGCTGCTCTTGAGTGTTGTGCAACTATTGACGCAAACCAGAAAGCTACTATCATTCTTAAATACAACCTGCATCAGTGCAAACTGATGACTCACCATTATGTAACACTTAAGTTAAAAACAAAAGACTTAAATATGTTTCATTGAATAATATTAAAAAGAAAAACAGACAGTTCTGACTTTTCTTTTTGCTCTCTCCCCAAAGTTCTTTCCCTGGCCTAATGTACCTACTTGCTGAACGTAAGACCCATCTCCCAAGTTGACCTGCATTGTATTTATTGACGTCCAGGATCGTCCTCTGGACTGTTTATGGAGAAACAATGTGCTCTGTTCCCTTTCAGTGAGAAATGTTTTAGGGATACTTGGCTTCTCTCAGTGTTTTGTTCAGCTGTTAACCAAACACACCATCTTGCTCTTCATTCTCTCCCGCTGAGCCCCTCTTGCTCTGTGTAACTTCACTTGCTAACCCTCAGCCTAGGGTCACACACTAGTTTTATTATCAGTGTAACAATGTATTGAAGCATCATAGGTTTAGAAAAATAGATGTTTTGAGGAATCAGATTTAACTTCAGTCGTCTGATCTGATGGACTCTTTTGCTCTTACTGCTGATTTTAAGAGTTGCCCCATGCATGCGCACAGCATGACAAAGGGGCGAATCACTACTGCACCTTTCATTTGATTACTGTGTTCCCGTGCCCCGTCTTACACTGATCGTTGTTAAACCAAGACCCCATAAAGCACTAGCCGCATGGCCGTTCTTTAGTGGAGGGCTCTGATACTATTCCCCTATTCTCAAAGTGCTTATCTTCTTAAAGGGACCATGACAAATTTCCATCTGCTTCCTGCAACTCTTATAACGGGATGGGCATTCCTAAACAGCCCTTTTTATCTTCAGAAGGCAAGCTTCTTCATTCTGCGCCATTGACCGTGTTGCACATTTTCTCTTTTTGTTTTGTTTTTAACTTGTGTCCTTTATATGAATGCATCTGCATGCCTCTTGAACACAGGTTCCATAGACCGTCAGTATATTGAGAAGCTCATGAATCACAAGGCATCCTAAACTCCCTCCCTTAACACATTGCTTCTGCCTGTGATGTTGACTGTCCGATTCTTCTTCAGCTTCAGAGTGCAGTCAATATAGTAGTATCTTCTATGTTATGAGTGTCATTAGAATGTGCTTCGGGTTTTATTTGAATATGGTCACATTGCCCTTAATAGAAGGGAACTCAATAAAGAACGTTATATAACCCCATTTCACTGTGCGTGGACCCTCTGTAATCCATCAGGTCATATACAGTGAAACGCAATATAGCATCAGGATGTGTCTAAGCTGGGAGTGGATTGCAGCAGAGCTGTTTATTGAAGGAGGCATATCATGAGAAATCAAATTTCCTTCATCTTTTGAAATGAGTTTTTGCAGTAGGTTTTCATTGTACACTGAACTCTCAGAACTCAAAACTTCTCTCCTGTCCAGAAAAAACAGTGAGGTAATGGCAGGAGAGATCAAATGCATAAATTCCATAAAACATGTATTTTTTTCTGCAAGGATGCATTACATTCTAAAGTAACACTGAAGACATATTTCATATAAATGCTGTTGTTAGAAAAATAACAGCAAGAATAAATTGTCATGGTTTTCACAAACATAATAAGCAGCGCAAATGTTTTCAACAGTTAATGTTACTTAAGTATCAAATCAGCATATTCGAATGATTTTCGAATCCTGACCTGACCGATCCCATCCCCCTCTCTCTCCCACTTTGCTTCCTGTCAGCTCTGATCTGACCTATCATAATAAAGGCAAAAATAATTCTTAAAAATAATAATGATAATAATGTTTTCTGGAGGCTCATGTGACACTGAAGACTGGAGAAATGACTACCATCAGCTTTCACATCACAGAAATAAGTGGCATCTTAAAAATATTAAGATAAAGTTATTTTTAATAGTAATATTTTACAATACTGTTATTACTGTATTTTGGATCAATATAAATGAAGCCTTGATGAGCATGAGAAACTTCTTTAAAAAACAAAATCATATTGACCCCAAACCTTTAAGTAGTGTATGCAAATGTTAATTTAATACATATATGTTAGTTACATGTACACTAAATATAGTTTTAATGGCCATGTGAAAGTATATCTGTAATGTTAAGGGAAATTTCCACCAACATTTAAAAATAATCTGGATCTGAATCAAATTGTATTACTAATTTTAAATAACACTTGGGTGGTGTATAAATCTAAAAGCAATAAAGCTGTTAAAATATTATTTTAATATTTATTATATCGTTAAATGTGACTTTTTCCTCTTTGTGATTGTACTGTCACCTTTTATTTACAAAGCTGTAAAAAAAGAGCTAAATGATGCAAAAAGAAGTCTGTCAGCCTCATCCTTCTGAGAGATCCCAACTTTAAGGAAGTGCTTGGTTTATTTTTAACGTCACCTCATAATTGGTAGACTCAGTTTGGTAAATAAACTAAAGCCTGTCAGTCCCAAGTGATAAAATAATTAGGTTTTCTTTCTCATTTAGAAAACTGCATTCAAATCAAGATCTAATCACTAAAGTTTTTTTTTTATGTTTCTAAGTCCTGGTAGCTTTTAAAACTGCTACACAATTGGCATGCAAGGTCTAACAGCCTGTGAGAGCTGACATGGCTTTGAGCATTTGTTGTGACAAGGCTGTTTTCTCTGGAGTCTGAATTGTGGAGCTGCTGCTGTCGTGCCTGCTGATGAACAGTTTACAGCTGGAACATCACGACTCGCCTTTTGAGTGTTAGTGCCATTCTGCCCAGATGATTCATCGGGAAATTAACAGCTTTATACCAACACTCCTGTTCATTCAGCAGCTATGTATAAAGTTGCATTTCACACACTGTGACTGTTCCAGGGTTTACATGATTCTTGCTACATTTCTACTGTTTGTATTTGGATCTACACCAGTGACAAATTGCCTGCATCATATGGCTAATTTACGGCTTTTTCATTCAAGATTCAGTAAGCTCCGTTTAAAGGGATAGTTCACCCAAAAATGAATATTCTGTCCTTATTTACTCACCCTCATGTTGTTCCAAACCTGTATGAGTTAGTTTTTTTTCCACTAATGAATCAAAGAGAACAAAATTGTAATTTCCTGATAAACACTAAATATCATTAAGAAAAGTAGGAGAAGCCATAATTATCATATAAAATAAATTGCTTGCACGAGCAGACAAAACAATAAATGCGGTAATTGCTTTCGGAAGTGGATGCCTGCTTTGGGAACGCTGTCATGTAAGACAGTTCTGGGAGAAATACTTTGATGACAGACTTTGCTTGGGCATTTAAGCATGATCATAACATTTCAAATGCTGTGCAATGACATCAGTCCGCTGGTTAGTCAGGTTATGCCATCCCATAGCGCAAAGTCACATGACTTTTTTGATGCGCATGGAGGAATTTATTCACAAAATGCCTTTCCATCTCCTATTATTCGCTTTAACTCTTTTTCACACAAGTCAAAAACCACCTCAAGCGAGTGTAAAAACTATTTTGTGAATTAACGTTTTTTTTTTTCTTTTTTCGAAATTTAGTGTTTGCATCACTCATTTCTGATGCGATACTTCAAAATGCGCATAAAAATCAGTGGCTACCATAAACTTTTTGGTTATCATCATTCGTCAAAATATCTTTTGTGTTCAACAGAAGAAAGAAACTCATAGAGGTTTGGAACAGCTTGAAGTTGATAAAGTGATGACAGAATTTTTATTTTTGAGTGAACTATCCCTTTAAGATCTATCTTGTAACATGCTGACATTAAACACAGAAACATAAAACTAGATTTGTAATCATTGTCATGACAAAACACATGAGTTATTTGCCTCACACAGTTGCTGTCTGTAAATCCCTTCATAAAACAGTGACATTGGCAAAGTGGCATTTCGTTCCTGACCGAATTTGTGTTTTTAACGAATTGAGGAAATTAATTTTTAACCCATTTTTGCTTTGTTCCTGAATGAATCAATCATTTTAAACAAATCAAATGACTCACTCAAGACCTACCACCACTTATTGTTTTAAATTTAAAATTATTTATTATTATTATAGCATTATTTTTGCTGTATAAATCTATTTATACCACCTCTGAGCTGCATAAACAGTCTAAATACATCTAAAAGCCTGATGCTGCTTCTGTGCCTTTTCTGCATTGCAAAGATGGATTTTATTAGTTATTTCATCAGTAAGAGCCATTGTCTTATTCTGAACAAATTTATTGAATTTGACAAAAAAATTATGCATAGCCTGTATTTAATAAGATTAGAAAAATGCCCCTGGAAAACCATAACGGAAAGTTCATTACTGTCACTTATGGTGAGATAATGGCCATCTATGCTGTACAGACTAAATTCTCAAATCGACCAAAAATGCATGGATAACACCATAAAGTTACATACAAAAATTGTATGTAATCAGTTAATTAATTTTTTAATGCCCTAAGAGCTTCGAACAATTCGAACACTGATCCAGTTGTATCCAAATTCCTGTAATGACCATGTAACAAAATGAGGGTGAGTAAATGGACTATTTTAACGATGTCCTTACTACCTTTCTGGGCCTTGAACGTGGTAGCTGCGTTGCTGTCTATGGAGGGTCAGAAAGCTCTCAGATTTCATCAAAAATATCTTAATTTGTGTTCCGAAGATAAACGAAGGTCTTACGGGTTTGGAATGACATGAAGGTGAGTAATTAATGACAATTTTCATTTTTTGGTGATCTATCCCTTTAAAACATACAGTATTTGTCACAAAATTCTTTTAACCAATGAAAGGCCATCATCTTTCTCAGTGTATAGTCAGAACTGACATAATGTGATGTGAGACATTTATGAACAAAATGTCACTCAAACATTTTCACTCAAGGAACGCAACTTTTATTCCCCCTTGTGCAAGGAACTCAGCATTTTCAACTGAATATAACAAAATTCATATTGTGATTACATATTGGGAAACATTTTAGCACTGAAAAACGACTAGAACAAAACGGTTCACTTTTCAATGTCGGTATTAATATCAACAATATTCTAGAAGGATCGGACTACAAATTCTAAATAGTCACAAGAAGATATTTTTCCTTCAAAGGCATAAAATGACAACACTCACTATCGACACCCATTTTAAACATCAGAACTATTACTCTAGATATTGCTATACTTTGAATGGCATATACTGTAGGACCATGACAGTTATCTCATGTAGCTGGATGGTTCCAGAACAATCCACATAGTGGACTTCAAAATAGAACCTAAATGGAGACTTTGGTTCAAGGTATCTGTCAAAAGAGGGTGCTTCATACTGCATTTCCAGACAGGAAGTTGTACATGAAGAATTAAATCTAAAAACAGACATTCTTCAAAAAGGAATAAGAAGAATTGAAAGGCACAACACTTAAGTTTCTAAAAAATCTGCTGGACTTCGGTTTGAGTAATAGTGCACGCTGTGTGAGATCATTGTTAATTCTGATTGGTTTAAACCATGTAAGTCTGAATGCTTACAGTGGCTCTAAAAGCAAACGTAATGTCAGAAAAACCATGTACTGTAACCTTGTTCTTTTCTACTTCTCCATTTCACTCTGATAAGCCCAAAGTAGGGTAGGTAGTGTGATTTTAAAGTCAACATGAACTCAAAAGGAACCCTATTTACTTCAACACACGTTGTTTGGTCTTACTGTGCATAACCATTGGTGTATATTATTTCACAGATGATTTGTTTTTGTAATCTTTCACCATTGCTCCACCCGAAACAACTTTACTTTGTCTGCTGACACCTAGGTCGTGCCTGTTAATGTTTACTAATAGTCAAACAGCAATGCGGTAACACTTTACAATAGTGCTGCAGGAATGAGTCCTAAAACCCAGACTCGTCATCACAAAGTCAATGCCTGAAATAAGTTCTGTGATTCACACAAGCTTATTATTCATTAAAACAAAGTAATACACTACCTATAATTTTTTTAAAAGCTTTTACATGTCTTGAAAAAGGTGGTTGCTAACAAGTGGCTAAATGGGACTACAGAGGTGGTTGGGGCATTAAACATGACATTGAACACACAAAAAATCATCTTTTACAGCCTTTTGTTTATACTTGATCAAACTATCCCAACTCAAATTTTCCAACTTTATTTTAGAATTTAAATAAAGGTTGTAAGAAGTTTAATGGTTGTGACATTGAAGTTGAGTGACTGCTTCTAGTGATTGTATTTAGTCTTCAAAATTCACAAACGTTATGCTCATTGTCTCGAACAAAACGTGCAAGAACGGTAATTATTAGATGATAACGTGTGCCGGAACTGTTCCTGTCTTGAATTATACATTTCTATGGCAACACTATTAATGCCACGATGAATCTGTGTAATTTGAATAATCAATAGAAAAAAAAACAATACATCAAATAACAGTCCTTATGCAAATGCATTAAATTGCCTTGAATTAACTTTATTTAGTGGGACATTAGATGCATTCAGCTGTGCTGGCCACATTAAACTATTGTATGTCTTTTATTTTTTAGATTATCCTGGCACTATCAAGACATTAACAACAGTCAAATACTGGAATTATTATTAATTATATGAATTACTTAAATATTATTAAACAGAAATATTACCCAATATTATTACTTCACTACAATTTGCAGCTGAAATTGCTGTCATTTTAAGAAAATTGCAACACAATTTGCACAATTTGTAATTACGAATTCTAAGAGGACGTGGCCGTCCTCAAGTCAGAACGTTTACAAGTCAGAATCTCGTAATTACGTTAATCCTGACATGGTGTGAATGAACCATAATGTCTGGGTTGGCTTGCAAAAGCAATATTACATCATATCTGCAGCACTTAAATTAGTATGTAGTGCTTAGTTAATACATTAGGTATTGTGAACTAACAAATCAATGGTAATAAGTTACAGCATTTATTAATATACTATTGTTTATTGTTACTTTGTTTATTTTGTTTTAATTTACTAATGCTAATTATTGTGAATATATAAATATAAAGAAGTTAAAAAGTATTATTATATGCATACATTAAAATCAATGTAGATTGATAAATGCTGTAAATTATTGTTTGTTCATAGTTGTTTATTTTCTGGCCAGTTTGATACCTAATTAATGTTTTTTTTTACTTATTGTAAAGTGTTGGCAATGTTTTAAACTCAGGTCTGACTATATTTTGTTCTCGTCTTTCATTCAGAAGTTCATCACTCACAGAAATAGACTCAATGCTGTTTCATGTTGACTTTAACATTATTTCTTTTTTTTATCCCTTAGATAAGTACTAATATTTACACATTTCTCTGTTGATTATATCTATTATTTAAAATCACACAATACTAATAAGGAAAACTTGAGTAGCTACTGATCATTTAAGGATGAAACAAACTAATTATAAAAACACTGAAACTCAGAGAACTCTAGAGTATTATATAGGAAAAGGAATATTGCTTTAATACTGATTTTTAAACTCTATGGTTGCTGCACTACATTTAATCTGTGCTTACCAGAAAAAACAAACAAAAAACATTTCAGGACACCAGCGTATCTCACAAACATCTCTGAAAACGAAGTTCTGTAATGGTCTACCACAGTTCTGTAGGTTTATAAGATGTGACACCAACCATGGCGTCTTGTTCGTCCCTGAGGGCGTTTTTCGCCACATCTTATGCCTGAGAGCCAGCCTCAGAGTGCTTTATTTCACATTTAGTTTACGAGTACACAGCCCTGTGGGGCCTCTACGGTCTCCATCATCTCACAGTCCAGGAAGGTGGCTTCAGGTGCAGGTTGAGCCGAAGGGCTTTCTGCTTTGCCTGCTGGGAGAGGTGGCTGGGCAGGACTCCACGCGTACAGGGGCTCTGTAAGGAGGGATGGGGTGTAGTTTGTGCAGTTGTCTGGCGGTGGAGGCCAGTCTGGGAAATGGGCTGGCTTTGGGCCGTATGTCAGGGATGAAGTGCCAGGCTCCAGAAAAGGGGTTAGGGTTTGGGTCCGTGTGAAGGGAGGGCTAGATAAGGGACCGCTGCTGTTCTGGGGGTCTCTGCTGTCCTGGGGAGGGCGGTAAGCATCCTCAGCCAGCTGCATCTGGTGGAAGTAAGCCTGTACCTGAGACTGCTTCTGGAGATAGAGCCTCTTCTGCTGCAGTCTGCGTAGAGAATTACAAATGAACAAGATGTGTCAAAATAACTAAAACTTAAGGACAACTTTGGGAAATCAGTGCATTATGAAGGCAGTTGTTCCTGACCTGTGTTCCTGGAGTTGTTGCTCTAAAGTGCGCGGTGCAGCCTCTTTACAAAACATCTGTCCACTTCCAAGACCACTTGCCAACTGACTGGCCCTCTGAAAAAACAAGAAGTCATAATCCA